CTGCGATTACGAAACTGTGGATAATAAATGAATACCTACCAGGAAAAGGTCCTTCACCAGGAGGAAGAAAGAGCGTTCCTCGGATTCGTCCTTCTCTTACAGGAATTCTTTTCACTCCATCTGCCATGTACCACCTCTGAAATGTGGTGCTTGATAGTGGCTGCAGCTCAGGTTGTTCTTGGTGCGGAGTTACATGACCATCAAAGCAGCTTAAGACGCCGTTATACGGTTTGGTAACATCTCTTTTGAAAAGGCGAAGACCCTTTTTCTGTTCTGGAGCCTGTTTCATGCTCCATAACAATCCCATGGGTTCAACACCGCGGTAAGATCCTCCCAGGGAGGGATCACGATCAACATCAACTTCACCGTGTTTATCAGCGATGTAGTGGGCGTGAGATTGGAAGATTTCTCCGCCGTCGCCGACTATGTTGGCTCCAAGTGTAATCTTTTGTAATGGCTCAAGCTCTGATACTGTAATTTTAGTCATACTGTCTATGAGGGAAGAGATTGGCTGTAATTTAAGCATCGTAGTTACGTTTCGCGGAGAATAAAACGATTCCGAGGATGTGTCGCACCTGCTGTTGATCTTACCGACTTTAAATGCAGGACGATAACAATTGTTTTATACTGTTCAAGATGATTGGCGGAAGTCCTATCTTGTCAAGAACTTCCTGTTAACGGAAGTAGACTTGCATTCCACTTGAAAAGAGCACATTAAAGAGATAAATTTTAGCACGAAAAGTAATTGCAAAATATATTTTTAACTTAAAAGTCTATTTTGGATAATAAAGGGTTAATTCAACTGCAAAAACCGTGGACGAAGATCCTGCTAGTTGTTAACGTTGGATCTCTAGAAAGAGATATAATCAGCCAAAATATAAAGAACCAAGAACGAGAAGTCCAAAGACTACTGCAAAGCTGATTTAAAACATCGTGTATTGTTTTTTATAACAATATTGGATAACACTTTTTTTGAAACAAAATCTGATTAGAAAGTACTAAAACGATTGGCGATTTTCAGGTTTGGAAACTGAGTGTCCGTCACATCACTGCCATCTGGTTCATTTTATTAAACAACACGTCTTTTTTCGCAGTCAAGCATAACATTAGCGAAAAATCACTGGCAAATGACAAAATCACAGCTTCATTTCAAACAAATATGTCTCCCAATCATTATATTAAACGTTACAAACAGCAAAAACGGACTTTGAAAAACTGTTAGGCTAACAAGTTTTCAAAAAAATGTTCTTCAAATTTGTCCATCCGTGTTTTGTTTTGCATATGCTGATCGCTCAATTTGGTGACAGTTCCCACTGTTTTAAGTTTGATAACTCTCATGACACTTAACAATTAGTTCATGCGTCAGCGTGCGTATGTCGAGATATTGAGCACGCGGGAAGTTTGGGTGAGTGCTCTCCAAACTTCCCTTGCTCCCTTTTTGGGGTTTAAAAATTCTAGCCCCAGAGAAAAATTAGGAAGCTCTTCCTCGTCAACCGGTTGGCTTGTGGCCATTTTAAGCTAAGGTTTCCTCTTTTTCCAACGCGTATAAAAAGTCACTCGTGTTAAGAAAATTTTCTCGAGGTGTTAGTTCGCTGACGTCATTAGCGCGCTCAACAAGAATATGGAGCACGCTCGCCCTATTAAATTTGATTACTTGAAAATTCTAGCTATGTTATAATGCTCCTTTAAGCAATAACCTATGAAAGAAGTGATAGCGTCCCAAACACACTCCTGCCAGTCTCGTGCACAACTTCTGGCAAACAGTCAGCAACCTTGAAGTGCCAGTTCTCACTGATATGGTTCACTTGTCGTTTTGAAAACTCATTGGTGATTTTAATGAAGCCAAATCTGAGATTGTTTCTGCTGGATAACAAGTAACATGATACTTTCGATGCCTTATTAAGCTTGAACTTGAACGTTATTGAACTCCCCTCTGATGGACTTTTCAGTGATACAATACGATGTTAAAACCTATAATCCATTATATAATCGAAAACACAAACAAAACAAAACTAAACGTCCAATTAGTCTATTTAGTCGGTCGCGTATGAAGACATTTCGGTGAATAATATTTGTCAAAGTTTCCGTTTTGTAACGACACTAGCGTACTTGCTGTGAAGATGTAAAACGCCATTAGATTCGGCAGATATTAACTTTTATTATATTAAATATTAACTATAGGGAAGTCCAAATATATTATTTCTTTGAAGTATTTCCTACTCTCATATTACATACAAATACTGGGACTTCCTGTGTAATAATTTTGATTTGATTCCTCTCAAACAATAGCATCTAAAACGTACTTGCAAAACAATTTACAATAAACTCACCAAGCCTTGACGTTCGTTCCCTCCAATTTAGGGCAATGACTCGAAATACAGAATACAATTTAATCACACAAAATTAATAGGCAAAATAAAATTAATAGAAACAGTAATTCATAACATCCACCGAGTACTATCGGAGTATGCAGCAACAGTCAAACATGTGGACCTGCATTAAGGGGACTGGACCCAGTTATTTTGGGAGGGTACCATCCTACTTTGAAGCCCTCTGGTATGCCCACCTTTACTTTGACCGTAAGTGTAACATATAGCATGGATAACATATAGATACAATATAGCATAAAATTTTGGGCGATCAGAGTAAATGTCACGTTGTTATAGTGCCACGCCTCTTTTGGGTCTGAGTCGAAATTCTGCTGTTGCCGGCATTTTTTTGTGAAAATCTCTGGGCTACTTATAGTGCGCATTAGTAGCCTGAGTATCAGGCGTTTCTGGGGGAATAGGGCGTCCAAAATAGCTAAAACTATAATTTCTATATGTTTTCATTACTCGAAATCGCGCGCATTTACAAGGCCCTAAAGCTTTTTGCTTACTTGCAAGGACCCATCTGTTATAAAGATCCCAAAAAAAGGGACAAATCTCATAGTTTATTAGTATAATCGTGTAAAGTTTGCTTATCATTTTCACATAAATTATGACCTTAATTTGCAAACCGCTGAATTTCTCGTTTTTGCGTTGAACTCTGTTCAACGCAAGGCAATAATGAGCACTATATGTAGCCGAGAGATTTTCACGAAAAAAATTCCCCGCAACAGCAGAATTTCGACTCAGACCCAAAAGAGGCATGGCACTTTAACCACGTGACATTTGCTCCGATTGCCAAAAATTTTATGCTATATTGTAGATTTTTAGTCTATATGTTATCCGTGCTACATGTTAGACTCACGATCAAAGTACTTGAAGGTGGGGATACCACAGAGCTTCAAAGTAGGATGGTACCCTCTCAAAATAACTGGGTCGAGTAACCTTAAGCGGTCACTTTTTTAAGTTCCGAAAATCATTTCCCTTTATTATCTTGTTTCAAAAATATTTTTGTGAACTAAATCCTGAAGGAAGCCATAAAAAATGAAATAAGTAAACATTTAACATACATATGTTCAACGCATGGGTCTGATTGCATGAGGAAGAAAAAGTCGAACGTCCCAAATACAACTCTTAATACAGCATTAAAAGCTTCACCTCTATAAATTTTAATGAGGGAGATATTTTAGCTGCCTGTAGTTTAATCCGGACATTGCTCCTCTTACACGGAAGACATCCCTGAAGGTTAATAAGATGCTGACAGTAAAAAATTGCTGCTCTTTTAGAGGAAACTAATTTTAACCAAAGTTAATTAAGTAAAATAAATGGTTATGAAGCCCGACAGACTTCTTTGTTATGTGTTTTTGTTAGCTTTTTTAGACTTGACCGTGCACAACGCTGAACAGAATTCTTATCATTTTGAACTTATTGACCAATAGAAACATTGCATTAATTTATTCAGTCACAATTTGTGACTCAAAAAAAAATGTTTTTGCACGGTCAGGCAGCCTTTCAAGACTTAAACTGCAACAACGTTGTTTTCATCTTTGCTGTTTGCCGGTTTTTCATAACCAGTCTCCTCTATTACCTAATGTTTTAACCATGTTCGAAAATAAGTTGGTGGTCAGTCAACTTTCGTCTTGCCACCATGGCTCGACATTACGAACATCCGAGTAATACGAACAGCAACCAAATCCTCGACAATAATTAGTCGTCTTACAAATATATATATACAAAATAATCATGCCGATAATAGTTAAATCTCCCGCTCTCAAGGACATTCGCTCCTAAACATTTTTCGGTCACAAAGGGCACAATTATTCTTGTTTTAAATTTCTTTGCATCGGAAAATGAGCGGCATCTTTGAACACGTGGATAGCATGTGTAACTTTTTCTTAATTCCTCTTTCCCTCTGGGCACCAGAATTTTAGTATCGCTTAATTATTGCTAGGTTTATTCATTCCTTCCATGCACTAAAGTTGCTTCCCTGTTTTAAAAAGAGGTTTATTTGTTTAAAAAATCAAAATTCACCAATATCATCGCAGAAATTAAGCGTGTGCATTAAAGCTGCTTCCTCGGCTTATCTTAACTGAAAGGACATGTTATCGGTATGAGCAAGGGTTTTCCATAGAGATTTCTTTCGCACCTTGTCATTAAGGACCAATTAATTTGCTGTTCCGAGGGTGTTCCGGGCAATGACGGGTTTTGATTGTATATTCTGGACCTTGAACTATCTATACCGATAACTTAACAGGTTTCTATATTTATAAAGCCCAAGACTAAGTGAACAGACTCAAGAATTATAAATAATCATACAGGCAAATAAAACCACAAAAGAAACTAGTCTTGATAAAACTAGTTAGTATATACTAAAACAGTGGATAGTGTTTTTCGCGCGCTCTGATTGGCTACTCAGTCAGTGAATATCCTGCCCCGCACTATTCACTGATTCACCTCCAGTTCCTCCGACCGAGCGACACCAAACTCGCGTAAGTTTCGAGCAAAATGCCTTCCCGGTTTGCTTCCATAACAAACAAAGAAATTTCACAACTAATCGAGCAAGCTGTTCCGAAATACACGAAGAAGGTGATGAAGTTCGGGATGGAAGTTTTAACCGGTAAAGCTTTGTCTTTTTGACTTGAATTTATCGATAAAACCGGCCAAAAAGTTTTTTGTTTACAAATGCAAAGTAAGCTTAAGTCTTGGGTTACTTTATTTAGTTGACTTGTTCATAAATAAGCTCAAAACTAAATTTAATAATCTTTTTTACAGGATGATTTTAAATACAAAAAAGTTCACAACTGCTTTTGAGGAAATTTCCCCGCAAGAGCTAAACAAATGCCTTCAAAAATTTTATTTGTCGGCAAGAAAAAGCGACGACCGCGGCCGTTCGGTCATTGCGCTCCAAAATTGTAATCGTTGCAGGCAACAGTAAATGAGTTAAAAATCATCATTTTTGTGCTCAATTATCTCACCGTTTTAGTATATACTAAAACAATTATTCACCTCAGTGTCGGTGGCCAGTGGTAGATATCCACCACCACTAACCACCACCACTAGCCACTGCCACTGAGGTGAATAATTGTTATTTATTACTGACCAAGCATGTAAATAACCCAGCAGAACTGATGTGATACGATAGGCCATCTGCACGATGGCT